GGGACACCTTCCATTAGACCAGGCTGTTCCAAGCCCTGTCCAGCCTGGCCTTGAACACTTCCAGGGATGGGGCAGCCACAGGTTTTCTGGGCAAACTGTGCCAGGGCCTCCCCACCCTCACAGTAAAGACTTCCTTTATATATCTAACCTAAATGTCCCCTCTTTCAGTTACTCCTTGTCGTATCACTACAGTTCCTGGTTTAATTCCTTTGATAGGCAGGAATGCTTTGTGCTGTTCCCTATGCCTTTGTTCCCGGGGGATTAATGAGGAAATGGGCAGAGGATTGACCAAAGCTGCAGACTCTGGAAGGATGTTTTCTCTCTGTGCTATCGCTTACAGCTTTCCAATAACCCAGCGCTCCCAAGCTGTGCCGTTCCACGGAGATGCTCGTGCTAATTGTTCGAGGCGGCGCTCGGGCGATGGCTGAGCCACAGTGTTTAAACAGAGTGGCAGGTGGAGCAATAGATAACGTTAAACTGCAGCTCGCTGCGAGATGCACTCCCACAGACAGTCTGGGGCTCGGCGGTGCCTCCCCCCATGGCAGCCCCTGAGCTCGGCGGGGCCGTGGAGCTGCTCTGCTCTGGAAGTGCCGCTGGACGGGATCGCGGCAGCCGCGGGCTCACCCGTCTGGCGGCGGCGGTGGTGCCTCCCTTGCCTTGACCTCTTGCTCAAAATGAAATTCTTAATTACCAGGGAGCCGATGACTGAGTCATGCTGTGCGTCGTCAAGGAGACAAATAAAGCCCGTTGAACTCGCAGAGATTGTACTGGAGAGACTGGCGCGTTTCCTCCTCGTTCTAGAAGCACTCTGAGGCAGTGGAGGCTTCCAGATGTTATGTACAGCTGCTGCCTTTACAATATAGATTTCAAAATTACGTACAAAAGAGCAAGCTCGTTCCCTTGTCTCTTATCTGTGCTCTTAGGAAATTTTCTGCTTACTTTGGTAATGTGGTTTTCTCAGGAGCCACCTTGATAATGACCAGGTGAGATGAGGCAAGATGCAAGAGCTTGTAATTGGAGAGGAAATAACATTTAAAAAGTGGGAAATTGAAGATGCTTCCTGATGCTGAATGGATCTAACTGATCTCTGTAGTCTTTCCACACAAAATTGAAATTCAGGGCGTTAACTCCAGGGCCTTAAACTTCACACTAAGCCATTAGAGCAGGGTGAGTCTGAGGATGGAGTGGGTGCTGCCACATTTCTGAGCAAAGGACAGTCAGTACATGGAAAACTTGTCCCCTCTGCTGCAGTTTGATTACCCAGGAGACACCTTCCTAGGCCTGTACCTGACTCAGGGCTTGGGAGGATCCAGATGTGCGTGCCCGTCAGTGTGTCTGCTAAAATTAGAGGTAACAAATTATTGATAATTAGGGCTGTTTTTTGTTTTACCATTGCAAAAAAAAAAAAAAGGCGAATTTATAAAAACCAATTTATTTTTATCTCTGGCCTCGGGAACTCCAAAGCAGTTGTACTTATTCTTAATTGCTTGTTTTATGGGGGAAAATGAAGCTGGGATGTAAACGGCGGCGCAGGGGGGCTGGGATGGAGCCACTGCCGTGCTCGAACCACGAGGAGGAAAACTGGCACTGAGGATTGCCTAATACCTCGCAAATTCCAGTTTTTATTAAGTTTAACAATGCAACCATTTCCAGCCATCCTAGAACTAAATATAGTAATGAAATTTTATTTGGAGGTAGGAACATTATCCAGATATGACTTGATGTGTGTAAGATACTGCACATCACCGGAGTGGTACAGATTGTGTTAAATGGGCCTGAAATAATCTTCAGGAAAGAAAATCGTTTTCTATTCTCCTTGACACAAAGTGTTTGTCACAGATATGCGTTCTTATCCACGTCTTGTTAGTGAAGTCATTATACTTTTCATTACAACTTTTATGCAAATACGCCGGTTTTCCTTGATTAGGTTTACATGAATAAGCTGTAATTGTAGGCTGAGGTGATATTAATGTGCAACAATTAAATATGTAATTACTATGTGTAATTACAGCATGAGGAACGGGTGGCAGCAGCCTGGGCGCAGTGTTTGGGGTCTGGACCGTGATCCTGCTCGTGGTGCTGCTGTTTTGCTGCTCACGTGGAGATGGGCAGGAGGGCTGTGCTCCAGTGGAGCTTCCAGTGTTCCTGCTAGTGCTGGCCTTGGGATGAGCAGAGGACACCTCGTGCCTGGAGCCTCAGCTCTTGCCTTTCTGTCCTGCTCAGAGCCCCCCTGAGCCTTGTGAGGGAGGGTGGCTTCAGGCTGTGGAGGTGCCTGTTGTACCCTCCGAGGGCAGCTGGGGGTTGGCAGCTCACAGATACCCGGATATGAGGTCTGTTTTCCTCTTGGCACGTTTGTGTTCCGATGCTGTGAGGATAATTCTGCTTTAGCTCCTTCCCGTTGAAGTGTGGACCAGGAAACACGGGTGCCTGGGGACTCGCTGGGAGGAGGGAACCACTCCTTGTGGTTTTCCCCAAGCTAGAGAAGCAGCTCAGTAAGGATGCAGATCTGTCAGTTAGTGACCTGCTGTGGGGACACAGGCTGTAACATATCCGGTGTCCAAAATATCTGAAGGAAGTGCACGTGAGACCATGGGAATGTGCTTGCTGCATCCTCGTGTTGCCAAGTATAGAGAGCTGGATGATTTTCAGTTGTCCCATTTGCATTCTTCCTCTTGCCACCTAAACACATGGAGCCTTTGAAGTATTATATTTAAGGAAACTTTTTTTCCCAGGCATTTGCTTGTATCTGCTTTAATTCCTGTTAATCTCTCTGTGCACGTGGCTCATGACGTTGGAGCAGCGGGTGGTTTCCCTCTGTGTGACACTTTGCTGCGTTTGCAGTTGGTGCTATAGAGGAAATTAAAAAAAAAAAAAAATCAAAACAGAGACTCAAAAGGAGAAACACTGACCTCAGTGTACCTGCCAAAATCGTCCTCTTGGCAAGCGGTCAAACGTGCCTCTCTGACAGAGGTGGCTCTGGGCTGTTCCCGAGCTGGGGCTCTGGGAGTGTCTCCAAGGGCCTGTTACTGTTTGTGCAGTCCCTGTGGTGGGAGGAGGTTTCAGTGTCACCAGTCACAGGTCTGTGCTTTTAGAGGTGACTGTGAGCAGTGAAAAGATGTGTTGGCCGAGGCAGGTATTCAGATGTCTTTGCCTTTTTTTTATTTTTTTTTTTTTTTTTTTCAATCAGGAGTTCCCACAACTCTCATTCCTTTGTTTTTGGTTGTGAGTGGATTTTGCTGTTGGCTGATAAGGCAGCAAGGCTCCTCGGGTGGCCCGTTTGGGGGGTGCAGCCCCCCCTTTCCTGCCGAGCTGCATCCCAGTGCTCGCATCGTGCTGGGACTCGGCACAGCAGAGCACAGCTCGGTATCTGCAGCCTGAAGAATGAGTTATTGTGCCGCCCAGAATTGTTTGAAGAATTAAAATTGACCCATTTCCTTCAGGCACGGGGAAGTTAATACTCGGGAGTGTTAACATCGGAGGAGTGATTTGAGGAGTATTATTCGTCAAATCCCCGTGCTCGTATGTATGTAGGTATAAATAAAAGGGCCTCAAAGGTTGTTTCAGTATTTATTAACCTCTCCTCCTCTTCAGGGGCTCTGCTTGGCCAAGGCTTTAAGCGGTTGGGTGTTTTCTTCTCAATTTGTGGAACTGGAGGAGCAGCTGTAAACACCTCCCTGGATTGAAACTTGTCTTTGTCCAGCGTTTTGTAATCCAGGTTGCTACATTTGTGCTAATTTTTATGTTTTCCTGGCTTTTTTTAGGTAAGTGAACACGTTCAGAGGCGGGATTTGAACGCTGCTGTTCAGCAGGGGACAGGTACCACGCTCTGGCAGTGGATCAGGCAGTTGTCAGCTGGGAGATGCTTCGTTAGTAAGTCTAGAAATGATGGGCGGTGGCACGTAAAAAAATTATGATAAAAATGTTTCAACAGCTTTTGGAGGTTTTTCTGGGATTCTCCTGTTTGGGTGAGCAAAGGAGGACTCAGAACTTTTCCTTTCCCAACCCTGTAGCGAAAATGCAAACAGCCTTTCCCTTCTCGTGATTTCTGTTTGATTTTCCATAGTATATTTAGGAGTGTTACTCTTCAAGGAGTAATTTTTAAATGCAGCTTGATTCTTGGGCTTGGGAGTGTTCTCCAACCTCGTGTTGAAAAGGAGCGTGAGGAGGAGGTAGGAGGCAGCAGGGGTGGTTTGTTGTTTTTTTAAATAATGCTTAATCTAGAATTAAATTCAGAGGAGTGCCTGGAGAAAATGAGATCTCTCTGATCAGATTCGCCGAATAGTTTTTGTCTTCTCTAATAAGCAGGAAAAGCTAGTAGAGGGAATTACGTGCTGGAAGGGGAATTTTAATAGCAACAGATATGCAAAGAGGGAAGTATCTCAGGTGAATAAGGAGTGCAGGCTGGCGAGCATCAGATCATTTCAGGCTCCAAGAATGAGACTTTCTGTGGTGCAGACACAAACCTGGCCCTCCCCAGCAAAGCCAGAGGAGAAGAATCAGTTCCCTTTGGCTCTCTGGGCTGTGAGGACCCACAGTCCCTGCCTGTTGTGGGCAGAGGCTCCCACCAGGAATAAAGAGGATGAAGCAGCAATCCTCAAACGTGGCTGGAGCAGCCTGGCTCCTGACTGTGCAGGCTGCATCTGTGGCAATGAGTGTGAGACTCCTATTCAAAGTATCCCGCTCCTTTAGTTAAGGGGAGACATTTCACCTTGGTGACTATGGTGGAGGACACTTCCCTGGATTTAGCTCGTTGTTTGAGGGTGCTGCATTTTACCGGAGGCGCAGCCACCACCAGCCAGCTGAGTGTAGAGGTGAAGATCCTGCTTTTCCAAAGTCTTGGGCACGTTGCAGGAAAACAGAGGCATCTCATAGTGGGCACAGCTGCTCCCAGTGTGGTTTTGCCTGGGATTCTGGTTAAATAACACAGGATTTTGCTGCGGGTGCCATTTGAGGTCAATTATTTGGTGGCGCCGTAACTAATAGCGATTAAAGCAGAAAGCTTTTTCCATTTTTTTGAAAAAGGAAGCATTAAAAGCTTTAATTTACTGCAGTGAGCTGCGGCTCATGGCCTGAGCAGACTGGTCTGGACGTGCAGGAGATGTTTCTTGCTCCAGCAATGCCCTCCTGAGCTCGGGAACCCATTGCTGACAGCCAGGCTGCATCTTCCAGCCGCGGTGCTCCAGAGAGGAACAGAGAGGGTGGGCTTCAGGGGGTGTTGGGCACCTGCCCCTCTTGGGAGAATCTGGACCTGTGGAGAAGTCTGTGGAGGGGGGGGGAATAAAAATCAGGAGCCAGGAACAAGATAAATTACGTTCCAAATAGGACCTGCTTAGCCCCAAAAACTGTGTGTGATGTGTAAATCCCAGCTTGGAGCAGCAACACCCGCGTCGCTGTGTTCAAACACTGAGATAAACACATCCATCTAAATTCATGATTTTGGGGTTTTTCATAGAGTTGCTAATTATTGAATGTAACTGGCTTATTCATAATTTCTCTTCTGCTGCCTGATAGCCCTAATCCCATATTTGTGCGGCCGTCATTCCCATGGCAACAGACTGGTGTCTGAGGCAGAAGATGATTAAATACCGAACAGCACATTAAAATAATGGGCAGGTTCTGACTTAGAGACTTTCGCATGGGGGCAAACTTCAAAAAAAGAGAACACTTTCACAAAAAGCAATTTACTTTGCCAGTAATGTTCTCTATTCCCACAGCTATTACTGAAGAGAGCTGTTTGAGGAGCAGCTCCCTTGCAGCCCATCTCCTGCTCCTCCCGCTTTGCAGAGAAATCCTCAGCTTATGTTTATGTCATCAGTCTGTTGCCATGGAAACTTTGTCACAAATGTATCGTGACCTCACAATGGGATGGCAAAGGAGGAGAATGTGGGCTGGAAGACGATGTTAGGAATGATCAGCAGCTGGGGAAAAACAGCCCCAAGCCTTGAGAGATGGAACAAAACAAAGTGGAGAGAAGGAGCTGGAGCTCGTTTGACTGGTCACTGGTGCAGGCACCTGTCCCACCACGCTGCTGATAGTGGGGGAGGCATCTGTGTCTCGATCCTGGGCTGCAGGAGCTCTGCTCCAGAGCTATTTAAAGCTCTAACTTTGCTTTCCCCTGGATTCCCAGCAGCGTCAGGTATCCATGGTGCGGTGGCACAGCAGAGGAGGAGCAGACAGTTCCCTTCAGCTCATGGTTCAAGTAGCAGGCCTGGGAGCTGGGTGGCCACTTGACTTTTTTATAGTGTCAGGTATTTGTCTTTTTGGCTTCTGGGGTCTCTGCCCTGTGTCAGATGGGGATGAGGGAACAGCAGAGCCCTGGGGTTTGCTGAAGTGCTGCTGCTCTGTGAAGGTGTGCTCGCGGGGGTCTGGAGTGACAGGTGTCAAGGTGATGCCTTTTGATGCCTTTCCCAAATCAGACTTCCCTTAATGAAAGCTGCAGTGAAAATCTGAAAGAGGATTAAGTGAGGATTAATAAAGGAAAGGTAGGGAAGAGGTTTGATTATCTGTCACAGGGATCCTGGCTGGGTAATGTGTCATGGCAGTGAGATGGAACAGAAAATTCTGCACACCTGGGGTATTGATCAGTGGGTGTTGAAACTTATAGTTCTTTCTGCTCATTTGTGCTGACCCCAGACTGGTGCAATACACTTCCCAAACCGAGTGATTTGTCCTGGAAGGGCTGGTGCTCCTTCCTGTGCCTTGGAGCAGGTGAGAGACCGTCTGGGAGCTGCATCAGGACTCCTTGTTGCCAGGACAAGCCTGGATCTCCCTTCAGAGAAGAAAATGATGGTGTCTGGGGTTCTGGTTTGGACAAGCTGCTTGTCTCAGGGCTTGGGAGGGGATATTTGGAAGCATCTTCAGGCAGCAGGAGTTGACAGTGTCTGCTGCTGGGCTGTCTCCCCTTGCTCTGACCACCTCCACGAGGCAATACATCCCTGGATGTCAGGGGCACAGAAAGGGTCTTTGGAGTTTGACAGATGTTTTCTTGATCCTCTTCAGAGCTGTCAGTGAAGGCATGGTGTTGGGAATGTGGTCTTTGTCAAATAAGCAGGAAGGACAGACCCCCAGAGGGAGGTCCTCAGCCTCACCCAGGGCTGCTGGTGTGTTGGGGCTGGGGGGGCCTGGCTGGGGAGTGCTGGGGGAGCAGCAGGATCTGACTGATCTGCAGGGGTGGGGCCCGGAGCAGGTGCTGCTGTGACACCATCTCTGTGCTCAGCCAGCTCCTGAACATCGAGCCAAGATGATAAAAGCAGAGAAGCTCACACAGAGGGTCGGTGCTGCTCCGGAGTTATCTCCGTGTGCAGGTGCTCCAGGCAGCGGAGCCGCGTCGAGAAGGGCCGTTCCTGCGTGTTTCATGTATTTTTAATGCAATCCTGTAGAGTACTAATAAGATCTTTGTGCAGCTCGAGCTTCCATGAGGGCCACTGGTTGTGGCAAAACACCCAGGGATGTGTGTGTGGGCTGTGGGTGTCCCAAGTGCCAGCACACCTCTGGCACATGCTGGGGGAAGGTTGCAGCATGTTGGCTCAAGACCTCACCCCTCCCCGTGGCTCAAAGGGGAGGTGGGAAAGGGGGCAAGAGCCCCATTTGGAGCTGGTCAGCTGGACAGGGGCAGGGCAGACTTGTCTGCCTGGAAAAACCCTGTGGAGGGGATTTCTTGTGGTGTGCTGGGACAGTGCTCAGGGGAACAGCATCCCCTTGCTGTTTATCCCTTAGGTTTCCTGCAGGGAATAAAAGGAGAGGCTGGCCTGATTCGCAGAGCGTGTACTTCAGCACTCCCTTTCTCTCTCCAGCAATTTCCCTGTCCTCTTGCTTCTTAAGAGCTTAAGGATCATTTTCCTCTTGCAGTTGGTAATACGAGAGGAGATGAGTAAGTACAGATCTCTGCGACCCATAAACCGTAAAGTCCTGCCTGCAACTTAAACCTCTACAGCTTTATTTGCTTTGTCGTGGCTTCTCACATGTGTTGGGGTTTAACAAACACGAGTTTTTCCTCTGGAGATAGACTTAAAAAGGGGCTGTAAGGAACAGTATTGTTCTCAGAGCATCTTGTGCTGTGCTTTACCTTGAGACGTGTGTGACTTCAGAAGGGAACAGCAGCAGGTCTGCCCGGGCTCTTCTGCTCCTCCTGTGTTGGTTTGCAGCCCGTGCTGCTGAGTTTGTTTTTGGGTTCAGCTGGCAGTGACTCCCAGGCAGCTCTGTGCCTCCCAGGCAGCTCTGTGCCACAAGCTCTGCCTCGATAGTGCCATCACAGTGCCTGCAGAGGATGGGGATGTTGGTTCCCAGTGCTGGGAGGGTTTTCCTGCTGGTTGCAGGGGAGGGTGGCCGTGCAGAGAGGCCACAGCCGGTGCAGGCGAGGGGAAGGAGCAAGTTGGCAGGGAAGGATCTGTGAAAGTAGGGCATCCTGGTGCTGTTGTGTAACAGCAGCCTCCCTCTCCTCCCCAGCCAGCCCTCTGCCTCCTGGGGAATTTATGACTGAGTTCACTGCGATTCTATATTTGGCTGAAATATTGAAAAATGCATTTGCTGTCAATGGGTTCCTTTAATATAAAAGGAAGGAGATTTATGGGAAGAGCAGTGCTGGCATCACAAGTGCCCTTTGTCTTGTGCAGTCAGTTCCCTGTTACCCTGTACCTGTTTGAGCCAGGTGTGCTGTTTGGGAAGGTGAGGATGTGAAGCTGTAAGGGTACCTTGATTTTCCACCTCCTGGAAGATGCCTGAGGACACAGGGTGGCAGTCACAGAAGACTTTGGAGGTTGTTCCTTTTAGTGCTCTGCGCATTTTTATTCTTGAACTTTTCCAGTTGAATTTGCAGAGGTGAAACCTGGGACACAACAAATCTTACATTTAACTTGATCCATTCCTGTTTGTGTCCAATGTGTTGGTGCTTTAAAAGGACACAGGAACTACCTCTCAAGGATGCAATCCAAAGTTAGTGAGGTTCACAGCTACCACCCCTGAACAGAAAATGTTGTCAGCAGTCGGGTTAGATCTGCAGTGTGTGGGTGAGGTGTTGGGACAAACGGTCGCTGTACCCGAGGCACCAGGGGTATGGGATGGGATGGAAGGGTGTGGAATGGTATGGAAGGGTATGGAATGGAGCAGGCTGAGCACAGCCACCAAAATAATGTCGCAGCCGTGGGTGGAGCACCTCTTGGCAAACGATCCTCAGATTATCCTTCCTCCTTCCCCGAGCAGTTCAGTGGCCTTGCCAGTGTGCTGATGCCTCGGCTCCAGGAAAATCCAGGGAGCTCTGGAGCAAGGAAGGGCAAAATTAATTTGATTTCTGGAACCCAAAGAGTGGGAAGGCTGCAGTAGGGGCAGCCTGCTCCTGGAAAGGAACAGTAATTCAGTGGGAAACATCTCCATTTTTGTTCTTTTTGATGAATTCTCTGAATTGTGTGTCTAATTGTGCTCAGTTATTCCTGCCCTGCACGGGTGGGTTCCTGGTTTCCAGGCAGGGATGTACATTGATTTCTTTCACAGGCCTTGAGACAAAAGTAATTCATAAAGGACGAGGACTTTTGCTCTGCTGTCAGTGTGGGGGGGTTGTATTTCAATGTCTGTATTGTTGGCAGCCTTTACATTGATTCAGTCTGAAACCTGAATGAGAAATCAGTGTGTTCTTGTGTGGACATGTTTCAACTGAATTATTAAATGAAGTGACTGACTCTTCTCTCTGAATTAAACCAGAAGAAAAACTACAATTAACTATTTCATTGACTGGGGAGAAGCAGCAAAATTGATGTGAGACATTGACCTCATAGATTTTTCTTGCCTGTACTGTGGAAGTGGGGGTGAGCTTTTAGGGGGATGAGAGAGGAGAGTGCTGTGACAACTTTGTTCCCAGGAATACAAATGGTTTCAGTTCATTCTTGTACCTCTCTTGCTTTATTTTTCCTTCCCTTGGTGAGGACCTGCTTCAACCTTACTCTGCCAGGGCTTAGGAATCCCATCATGCTGCGACTCTACCTTATCCCTGCTCTCCTGGTGGTCCTCAGTGGCTTGTGTGGCAGGGAAGAGACACAGAACTGCTTCTGGTTGGGATGTTTGTCTTATGAAACCTGTGTTCATTTTGCATTTCAACATAACTGGCTTTTCCAGGAAGATTCCAGCAAGTCTCAGGCACCAGAGAAAGGTCATTTGGTGGCAGTCCCTGGGACGCTGGCAGGTGTCCTGCACCCCACGTGGGGCCAGCACCCAACAGCCTCTCTGCTGCCAGGTGTGTTAGAGGTGACAGAAGATTCTTCCTTGGCACAGCTGCCTGCCCCTGGTCAAGCTGGGAAGGGCCTTGTGTGAGGGTGGGAACTGGCAGGTGGGAAGCAGCGTGTGGGGAATGCTCGGTGAGGGTCCGTGGGGCAGCCGAGCAGGACCCAGCCCTGGCTCAGGGATGGAGACAGGGAGGGGGAGAGGTTTGTGGCAGAAGCCAGGCTTCCATTTGTTGTGTGTTCCAGCCTCGTATCTGTCCTTGAACAGATGGACAGCGACTCTGGGGGTGCTGTGAGCCGGGCAGAGTGACCTCGGCTGACCCCTCATCCTCCCCAGGGCCGTAATCTCTGAGCCTTGGGCACAGGGTGTGGCTGGGATTAAGCAGAGATTATGTAGAAAATCCCTGGGATCTGGAGTGCCGCCAGCTGTTTGCTCCAGAGGACGATGCCGTGCTCGGAAGAGCAGGTGGTTTTCTGTGCAGCACAAAATAATGTGCTTTTTGAGATCTGGGAACACGCTGCTCTGTACAGCTCTGCACACAGAACTGCAGGATTGCATTTCCTTCCTGGTGTGTGCTGCCACACTGCAGTGCTCTGAGCCCCTTGGAGAGGGGAAAACAGGCATTTTATGCAGAATACCCAAGTTAGTCTCCTAATACAAAATTTATTACCTACGTAAGAGTGCATTTCTCACACCATGTGGCATCAGTAATGGATTCTGTTGGCTCCAGTGTAATACTTTTTAAATGTCCCAGTTGTGCCTCTAAATATATAAATCATAGAGTCCTAG